CTCACCCTCTCCCGGTGTCTCCATGGGGAATCTCAGCAGTTCCTTGGCGTAGTACTCCTGCGGGTCCTCGGGCTGCCGGAGCCGCGCTCTCTGGCGCAGCAGCTCGCGGGTGCTGTTGTAGAGGGCCCGGATGTCGTCGGGCAGCCCCGGTGCCGGTTCGGGCTCGGGGTCCGGGGGCGGTGCCGGCAGTCGCAGCTTGCTCAGGATCTGTCCCCGCACGGCCTCGATGCGTTTGAGCCGCGCCGCCTCCAGGTCCAGCGTGCGGCACGTGGAGAGAGCGCGGGCGGCGCCCAGCGCGGCCAGCAGCACGGCCAGCAGCATCCCGGGATAAACGGGCCGGGATAAACCGACCGGGATAAACCGACCGGGATAAACGGGCCGGGATAAACCGACCGGGATAAACCGACCGGGATAAACGGACCGGGATAAACGGACCGGGATAAACCGACCGGGATAAACGGGCCGGGATAAACCGGGATAAACCCACCGGGATAAACGGGCCGGGATAAATGGACCGGGATAAACGGACCGGGATAAACCCACCGGGATAAATGGACCGGGATAAATGGACCGGGATAAACCCACCGGGATAAACCCACCGGGATAAACGGGCCGGGATAAACGGACCGGGATAAACCGGGATAAACCGGGATAAACCCGCCGGGATAAACCGGGATGGACCGGGATAAACCCACCGGGATAAATGGACCGGGATAAACGGGCCGGGATAAACCCACCGGGATAAACCGACCGGGATAAACCCACCGGGATGGACCGGGATAAACCCACCGGGATAAACCCACCGGGATGGACCGGGATAAACCGGGACGGAACGGGATAAATGGGCCGGGATAAACCGGGATGGACCGGGATAAACCGGGACGGAACGGGATAAATGGGCCGGGATGGACCAGGATAAACCGGGATGGACCGGGAGAGATGGGCTGGGATAAATGGACCGGGATGAACTGGGAAAGACCGGGATAAATGGACCGGGATGGACTGGGATAAACCAGGAGAGACGGACCGGGAGAGACCGGGATAAACCGGGAGAGATAGACCGGGATGGACAGACCGGGATGGACCGGGAGAAATAGACCGGGATGGACCGGGACCGATCAGGATAAACCGGGAGAAATAGACCGGGATGGACCGGGACCGATCAGGATAAACCGGGAGAAACCACTAGGGATGGACCAGTAGAAATAGACCGGGATGGACCGGGATAAATCAGAATAAACCCTTCAGGATGGACCGGGAGAAATTCCCGGGATGTGTCAAAGACCCCGGCACAGACCGGGTTAAACCCACCGGGACCGGGATGGGCCCATTCCGAACCGGGATAAACTCACTGGAACGGGTTAAACCGACCCGGGACCGGGATAAACCCGACAGGGACCGGGATAAAC